TCAAACCCTTGGAAATTGTGCTTTTTAAATGTGGTCTGGAGAATCTGGGGGCCTCCAGCATCTTATCTATTTCAAAACACATCTGAAAACAACCAGCCAACGTGACCTGGTGGGAGGTATTCCCCGCCTTGGAGAAGTTGTGGGAGTTGGGTGAGGCTGTCTCACGTCAGCAAGGGTCTGTCCAGCAATGGTTTTGCCATCAGAACCACCAGCTCCCCTGATGTGAGGCGTTTGTAGGAAAACACGGGGCAGAGGCAGGAGTGTAGTGGGGCTGTGCCCTCATTCCCCACTTTGCTGCTGCGAGCCATGGCAGAGGGCCCAGTGCGTTTTGTCTTGGGTGGGGAGAGGATGGATCCTTGGAGGACAGAGGAGTGTCTCCAAAGGAAAGCAGCGAGCTGCACTGTGTGAAACAGATTCCCCAGCATATCTCTGTGCTTACAAAGGAGGAGCAGCACTGGGGGGGGCTGTTTCTAATCCTCTCCATCCCTCTCTCCCACAGCCCTCTTGAGGATTTTGCTGCTCTGGGCCAGGTAGAGCAGCTGTAAGGCTGTGCAGCTGCTTGGTGGGCTGAGGAAACAAATCTTCTCTTAACACTGCTAGCTGAGGAGCCCCAAATGGCTTCAGATGCCCCAGGGTTGCTCTCTTGGGTGACCGAGGCTGCTGACATGCTGTGTGTTCCCAAGCGCAGCTCCTCCCTAGCTCCGGAGGCTGGTTCCTCACAGCAGTGCATGGGAGCACGATCTCTGGGGACCACATGTTCTGGCACGTGCTTGAGGATGAGCAAAAAGATATGAGAGTCTAAAAATACCCTTTTGGGATCCTCTGGACCCCAGTCCAGGCTCTTAACAGGGAGTTTGTTGCAGCTCTGGTGCCAGGGCACTGGCATGCTCTGCTCCGGAGTAAGGAGTGCTCCCCACTCTGCTGAGGAGGTGTGGTGGGAGGTGATGGAAGCTCTGACAGCAGCTGTCTGAAGGCCTAAGGTGAGTCAGAGTCCCGATCAGGGAAGTCAGTGAAATGGTGGGTTACCTGCTGAGGTGATTGCTCAGGCAAAAGCCATTGGGGATGGATAGAGACACCCCTCGACCCCAGAGCCTGCATGGCTGGTGGAGCAGCTTTCCTCGTGGCTTCAAGGGATCCTTTAGGGGTGGTGTGTGTGACCACGTGCAGATGCAGGACTCCTGTCTTCACGAGCAGCATCTACCTGTGCTGTTGTCAGTCTTAGTCCTTTCCATGAGGACTTCCTAATTGCTCTTTCCTCCTCATCCTCAGTCATCTCCCTAGTAGAGCCAAACCATGCACAGAACTGGAGAGAAACCGACAAAATCTCGAGAAACCGAGAAATCTCCCTTAGCAGGAGATGTGCCTTTGCAGGGATGGCTTCCCCGGGGAGGCACGGACAGCGCCAGCCCGGGCAGCTGCGGCCGGCGGCCGCGGGGAGGAGACGGAGGACCGGGGATGGATGCGGGACCGGGGATGGCTGTGCCACCCCTGTCTCTCTCCCTGCGCAGGGGGGTTATGTCTTCACCGTCCCAAGGGCTCCCTTGCCCAGTGTCCCCTGCACGGGGGCCACGTCCCGGAGTGGCAGGACGTGGGGTCATAGAATCATAGAATCACCTGAATTGTAGAATCACAGAATCATAGACTTTTGAGATCATCGAGTCCAGCTGTGCCTGTCTGCTACTAAACCATATCTCTGAGCACCCCATCTAGCTGTCTTTCAAATACCTCCAGGGATGGTGACTCAACTACCTCCCTGGGCAGCCTGTTCCAGTGCCTGACAACCCTTTCAGCGAAGAAATTTTTCCTGACATCCAATCTGTACCTCCCCTGGCACAGTTTAAGGCCATTGCTTCTTGTTCTGTCACTAGTTACCTGGGAAAAAGACACACACCCGCCTCCCTACACCCTCCTTTCAGGAAGCTGTAGAGAGGTAGTTGTAGACAGTGATGAGTGGGCAGGAGTCTCCATGCCAGCAAGGCAGCCCTTGGGACCTGCCCTGGGGTCCCTCTCCCTGGTCCAACCTTTGTGGGAGCAAACTGCAGCCACGTTTCAGCTGCTAGACAGGGGGAAAGTGATTGCACTGACTCCCACCTTGGAGCTCTCCTGATGGGCCAGTTCACAGAGCTGGGGTCTGGTAGCAGGCAGGGTCTATTCCCTGTCCTTTATCAGCTAGTTCCTGGAGGGCACTGGGTGCTCAGGGAAGGAGCTGTGAGGGCAAGTCCCATGTCCCCAGGTGGGATGGCAGCAGGACACAGCCAAGTGCACACCTAACGAGGCTACGTGTGTCCTTCAGCCCTTGGACTTGCCCAGCACCCTGGCCATGCTGGCCACTTTCACACACTACTTTGCTCTGCTGTCCCCAACCCTCACCCCGGCCAGGGGGCACCAGTCTCTGCCAGGGGAAAGAGATGGTGTTTTGTTCCCCAGCTCGCTCCTGCCCAGCGGCTGATTGCACACACAGGGCCCTTTCAGCACGGGGAGAGGAGGGTGATGGCATCTGGGAGCGCAGGGAACAAAGGGCCCCATTGTTGGTGGCTGCAGCCCCATGGGTCTCTGTGAGCCGGGACCAGGCTGGGCATACAGGCACAGCTGTGCACTGAGCTGGGGCAGCAGCAGTGCAGGAGCTAAACCTGCCCTGGCCAGGCTGCACGGGACACCTTGCTGCCTGTCTGGAGAGGGCTGAGGCTGGGGGAGAGAGTGATTTGGGCTGGAGTCGGGTTTAGAAGCAGCGAGAGTCCTGGCCATGGGTAGGTGACAGCCTGCTGGCTCTCAACCTGCTCATGGGCTCCCAGCTGTGCCCAAAATCTGCCTTTCAGGCAGATTTGCTGCAAATGGGAGTGATGCTGGAGATTGATCCCATCCCTCTGTGGCCTCACTTCCCAGAGCACAGCTCCAGGGGGAAATTTCCAGGAAAATAAACATTTAAATTGATAATTTTTTAAACACTGTGGAAACATGTGTCTAAGGGCAACATTCGTCCGATCAGGGGTAGAAAGACACCAGCCATTGACCTCCCCGTGCACCAGCACTGTGCAAACTGTTAATGACCCTGTGGCAAATGGCATGTGGCCACCCACAGAGTGCGTGGGCACGACATGTAAGGCTCTGGGGTAGCTGAGTCCACCCTCACGCCTGAACAAGACCGTCTTATTTCACACAGGGCTCTCTGCAAGTGAAAGAATCGCGCACTCAGCCTGGCTCTGGACGTGCTCGTACCACGTGCCGTGCCTGATGTGAGCGGCAAGCTTTGCTCAAGCCGTGCTGATCAGTTTTACTGTGGTTGTGCTGCAGATGCTACACTAGGAAACGTGGCAGAGGCTGTCACTGCACAGGATGAATGTTAAAGGACAGTAGCACATCAGCAAACATGAGCAAGTGGCTCCTACAGGACCCCAGCTTTCCTGTGGGTGGCTGGAGGAGAGAGAAAGGTTTTAAGGGCTCCTCAGCTGGGAACAAAGATTTTGAAATCAAGGTTATGAACCTCATGTCTGGGGTGGGAAGGAGGAGTGGGCAGAGTCCTGCGGGGGCTGCTGGCCCCCACGTGGGGCTGGTGAGCCCTGCCCTTTGGGGACCTTCTTCTCCGCAGCTTCCCCTGCCCTGCTTTTTTTTTCGGCTGGGGCAGGGGGGATGGGGAAAGCCAGCACAACAAATGGACAGACAGATGCATATCTTGAACAGAATGTTCTTAATTTTAATTTTTCTTTAATTTTTATAAAATACATCTTGTAAGATAAGTCTCTAAAAACTTGCTCTTTTTATTGCTTGTTAACAAGTTGAAATTCTAGATCAGAAATGAAGGAAACACTTTCAGCTGATTAACTCTCTTTTTGCGTGTATGTGTGTGTGTGTGCACATATGTGCGTGTGTGTGTGTTTGGGGTCTGGGGACAAGGGTGGGAAGGAGGATCTGGTTATTTTTTGTTAAATGGATACCAAAAAAACCCCCAGCAAACCCCCAAGAGAGACAGCGTGATGTGAATTTCCAGATCTTGACTGGTTTCTCCCCACCCTGCTGTCCCTCTTGGCACCTCCCCCCTCCCCAGCCCATGTGCGTTGGTAGCATGGCCAATTTATTTCAGCATTCCTGGCAGCAAGGATCCTTCGAACGCTCTGCTCAGCAGATCTGCTCCTTTATCCTTGCCCCTGCTGAAACCGGCACTTAAAAAAAATACAATAATATTACAGACAAAAAAAAAATTAAAAAAAAAAGAATTCCATGCAAGATGAAGCTACAGTCTGCCACTGAAAGTAGTTTCTCCAATAAATAAACACTAAGATTAGCATTAAGGAGAGGCAGGGAAGAGCAAAACAAAATACCAGTTGGTGGGGAGGACTGGAAACGGCATTTTGGCGGGTCTGTCTGGACCCATGATGCGCAGCCACAGGGCTTTCCTCCAGCTCCACCAAACCCCTTGCCCTGCTGCCCGCTTCCATGGGAAAAGACTGAACTGGCACCAGAAACAATCTGGTTTGCAGAGACGGGACATGTTTACCCCCAGACCACCGCCTTTCCTTCCCTCCTCAACTCTTTGATGGGTTTCAGCTGGAAGCGAGATGCTGCCCCGTCCCTCCTGCCCTGGCAGACACAAGAGAGTTGTCCTGACTTGCAGGAAATGCAGGGGAAAAAAAGTGAGGGGAAGAGTGGGACAGAACGAGGGAAAGTTACGTTTGACTGAGATGAGAACCAAATCAAGCTCTCCGACGCAGCGGAGGTTAGCGAAGCAGACGTCACCCCAGAGAAGAGCACCATTGTGAAGGGACGAGAGCGCGCAGCGAGCCCGGCGCTCGCAGGGCGTGCAAAGGCGCCGCAGTCCAGAGGGTCATCCCCTGCCTACGGAGGGGTGGCTCTGGCTTTACACTCCTGGGGCACGGCGCAGAGATGTCCCCTCTCGGTCAAACCTGTCTGCTGCCTCTCTGCTGCCTGGAGAGTAAAGCCACGAGTCCCCCTTTGTCTAAAGCGACACCAAACTCCTTTAGGCTTTAATAGGAGCAGCTGGGTTAGGGCTTTATCAGCATCGGGGTCAGCACTCTCTTCGCAATGGGAAGATCCTTGCCCTGAACTCCCTTTGCCTCGACTGCAACAGGCAATTTGGGGTAAATTAATCTTTCTTTGCTAAGGGAAAAAAAAAAAAAATCCTTCTCTTATTCTCCATCCACAGGTGGTGACAGCAGACAGCTCCAGGAGAGTCTCTAACAATGGTACCAGGACTGGGACAACTTCCTTTTCTCTCTAGGTAGCCTCTTGCTACTCATGGAGCAAACTACATGTATTTCCTCCTCCCAGGAGCACGGAGACCTTTGCTTATCCCTAGGCAACATTAGGACACTGGAGTAAGTCCCTCCTCTTCTCTGGCTGGTTTTGATGGGCTTGGCCCTAGAGCAAACCGGTTATGGATGAGCAGAGAGAGAAAAGTGCATGAAGAGGTGTCCACTGGTGGGAAGCTCTCCTGCCTGGTCATGCTCAGCACGATGGATGCGAAGGAGGAAGAGGAGGGGAGTCAGCGGTGAAGGCAGAGTTAACGCAGGAGACCTGGTGTCGGGTGGCTGCAGTGTTAAAGCCTCGGGGTTAGAGAAAAGAAGGGCGTTTGGTCTGGCTGGGCTCCACCACACGGGCTAGAACTTGGTGCCTCGGCCCATCAGCTTGAGGACGGCAAAGTTGTAGGTGGCGGCGATCATGAAGGTGAGCTGTGGGTGGGAAAAGAGTGAGCAACAGGGGAGGAGGAGAAATGAAGCTCTGGTGAGTGAGGAGGGCAAGTGGGGTGGCACTCCTCGCTGGGGTTACACCTGAGGTGGCAACTCCCAGCCCAGCACCCCAACAAGGCAGCTGCCCCATGGAGTCCTGTAGCACCGGTGGGACACCACAGTGTCTACTTGCTGGTGTAAAGCAAGAGGAGAGCCAGGGAAAGGCAAGGACTCCATGCAGCAGGACCTCCCCCCGGTGCTCTCCTAAAGCCTTTCCAGATCCCCTCCAGCAGCCATTTCTACCTTCTTATGGCCTGAATTTGACACTTGCACTTATGTGCCAGAAAATGACATGAGCATGGGCTCTGTCACATCCATGCCCACCACCTCCATTGCCTCTGACCCCACATCCTCGCCAGGTGGAGGAGAACAGCAGGGAAGGGGGAGCACTAACTCACCAGTGAGACCAGTGTGGCGGCTGCCCCCACAAAGGCCGCGATGAAGAGGTGGAAAGTCATCTGGAACTGCAAGGGAAAAGAAGGGTGAGTTCCCAGGGTCCCACATGCTGGCTGGGGAGGCCAGTGTTGAGGGTACCCACTGAGGGAAGCACAGATGGGGTGACGGGAGATGCTCACCTCGCTGGTCTTACAGATGGAGAGCAGGTTGGAGCCGCACACCTTGCCAGGGAAAGCGTTCCATGGTAGGACACCTGTTAAGACGCAGGGAGCCAGGTGAGCCGGGCATGGCCACCGGCCAGCTGCCTTGCTCAGCCTCCTGCAGCCACATCTGTCACACGCACCCCAGTGTTTTGGGGCTCTTCAGCACTTACCCCTGCTTTATCCCAGCCTGATCTGCCTGGACCCTCTCCTCCATCCCCTCTCCTCCACCCTGAGCCCTGGCTCCTGGGCAGCAAACCCGGCACTCACCGTACATCCTGGCATCCGCACACAGGGTGCCAATGCTGGCCGAGGTCTTGCTGGGGTTGGCAATGGACTGGCAGGTGGTCCAGGTGTTAAAGTAGATGTAGACGGGCACCGCAGAGCAGGCGAAGACCAGGAGCCAGATGATGGTCAGGACGTAGGTAATGCCCACAAACTGCAAGGGGCAGGACAAGCCAGGGCAGAGCCGTGGTTACCGAGTGGGCAGGGACACTGACAGGGGGAGTGCGAGGGTCCCCAGGCAGGAGATGGCACGGGGCAGGCAGGGGACTGAGATGCTGCCCGCAAACGGCTC